AGTTTAATGTCAAATACTTTATTATAAACCCACAAACTGTAAAAGCATGGTCAGTGGTTGCAAGCATTATTTAAATGATGGTGCTCCCTCTTGTGGCTTAAGTAAGAAGAGAAAAGTTAGTTAACTAGAGCCAAACACTGGGAAGTATTGCACTCCCCAGTACTAGCTCAGTTGGAGATTATTGCAAGTGTAAAAGAGCAGTAAAACTTGATATCAGAAATCTTTGTTTTCAACGGTTAGGTGATCAAAAATGGCCAAGAACTTATACTGGTTGGCAATGGAGGAAAGATGCTATACAGTACTGCTTCTACTCTCTAAAACTGATTGCACTATTGATGTTATAGAAGGAATGTGTACGTCGGTTGTCATTCTCTCTCTCTTTTACCCATACATACCTGAAAATATTACGTATACATCTTGGCAACTCCATGAAGAATAAAGTTCATTGTGCCCTGGAAATAATTGTTGGGATTTTTTTGTTTGTATTTTTACAGGGAAGAATTGTGAATACTGAAAGGAAATATAGTTTGTGTGCAATGCTAGAAAGCAAATTAAAACTCAGTTCACCACAAACTTTTAAACAAATAAACACATTTCATCCAGCCCTTCCCAGTTCCCTTTCTCGCTTTGTTTTTAGACTGTAGCAACCTCAAGAGTCAAATCATTCATGAGTTGTTGTTTTTTTAATTTTATTTACTGCAAAGTGTGGTGAGTTTGTAATGTGGGAGATGGGCCTGAGACCAACCAAACTTATCTCATCTAAAGGCTACCAAACATCCATTAAATGGGAACAACTTTTAATCCCTATATGTAGCTGGACTCTCTTCAAGCTAGTGGCCTACAGTTGAAAGGCTCTGTAGGCTATTGGCAATGTTCTAAGGTAGCCAGTCACCCAATTAGCACCAACTTAAAATAAGATAACATAAATATAGGCCATATCAAAACACTATATTAAAAAGAACAAAAAGCTTGCAAAGTCAAGCCAATATGCTTGCAAAGCAAAAGTTAGGAAATGCCAGAAGAAAGGTTGCCTATAGAATCTCAATATTGTTCCCCTGCTGAAGCAGGGTTTGAACCCAACAGCTTCACATCCATAGCCCTTCCTCTCCTGGAACTAGAGGAGTAATTACTAGTAGAAGTAGGCTGTTATCCTCTGTGGACCAGCTCCAAGAGGAAGACAACTCTTAGCGGGTTACACAACTATTTGTTATCCATAAGTGGAATATTGAGTATCAGGATTCTTGGGTTCTATTTCTGGCAAAGTGGTGTAGTCTAGGGGCTAGAGCAGTGGTTACAGACAATATAACCAAGCACATAGATTAGACACTTTTATTCTGAAATGCACCATGACAAAGTGCATGCAATTTGGTTCAGCCATATTAGTTGCCTGGGTTCTTTTCCCAGCTTTGCCTGAAATGACCTTGTACTGTCACTTATCATTCCTCCAATTTACATATAACTTCTTGCGGCCTAGGGTAAGGATGATGGGCCTTGGTAAATATTAAGGGTTGTAAAATACTCACATATTAACACAAATCAGGAGGAATGAAATTTAGGAATTGCCTGCCATAGTGGATCAGCCCTATGGTTCATCTAGCCAGGTATCCCATCTCTGAGAGCAGCCAGTACCAGATGCTTCACAGTATGGTGCAAGAAACCCCACATTAGGCAGGTGAAACCAGATGTGGTTTCATCTGCTGGCTCCCATCTCAGGGAATCTTTCCCTAGGCTTCAATGGCTTTCATCCTCCCCTAATCCTATATACAAGCAGATATGACATGAATCTATGTATATGGCAGCTCTATCTTCAACAAGACATCTTCCAATTTTGTTTATTTACTTAGCTACTATATTTGCTTACCAAGTAGTTCCATCAGTCAATGAAATTCCTTTTGCCATTTGATTAGCACTCACCAGAAAGGTCTTGCTTGTTCATTTTATTCCATTCCATTTTACCCCATTCCCTATTTTTAAGGGACAATAGTAGTTTTGTTCTCATCTTTTTATATAGGCAATCCCACTTCTTTTTTTCTTGATTCTTTAAATTAAATCCAAACCAGTTCATACTTGGACAAAGTTTAAGTTTAAGAAATTTAATGACAATCCTAAAGTCTGATAATCCTAATGTTATAGCATGAGAAAATTAAACAATGGGATACATTCCATAATAGGACAGGTTAAATTAGAGACTAATTTCTAATATTGTTGATGGAGAATTGCATTCCTAATTATTCCTTCCCACAGCACTATAAATGTGAAGATTTGATATGCTTCTGTTTTTTTATCAATTGTAAATAACTGTAGATGTTTTATGGTATTATATGAAGCAGAATTAAACTACCATAAAGTTTGTGTGTGGTGATAATTGCAATTTAACTGCATGGTCATTACAAGATATTTTAATTAATGCAATCATCATACTGTGGCATATAAACTGTGCATAATATCTTACTGACTATATGACAATAGGGTTGACAGAACTGTGAGAATTGGAATTCTACCAGTTTTTGAGATTCCCCCCCCCCCCTAAATATTCTGCAGTATTTGTTTAAGCAAATTCAGTCCAAACACATGAAAACACGTTTTAATCTTGTTTAGTTTAATTTCTGTAGAAGATTTTAGGCCTTCTTCTTCCACATACCTGAGCTATATCATTCCCTCTTTGAGATCTTCCCCCACAGATTTGTAAATCCCCAACTCATCAGAGATCTTTCAGAGATCTAAATTCTGACTTTCCCCTCTCTATCAGAGTACAGGGTTGGTTCTAGAGTCCTATTACTGGGGTGGGGCGCAAGTGGGTGTTTTGCAGCTTTTGGATGTTGCTATTTAAAAAAACAAACAAGATTCCAGGGGCTAGTTATACTCCTGGAAAATACTGGATTATAAGATTTAAAAAAATTAAAATGTAACTACCGTGTCAGTATTTTGCTATGTTGTATAACTTTATATATAGGATGAAGACTCTCCAATCTCCTGCTGTTCCACTGTTTAAATGGCATAACTTTATACATATTTTGGACTTTCTGATAATAATTTGGGGCCCCTTGAAGATTGTTTTGGAAGAGGGAAAATATTCCCCCCCCCAACCCTCCTCCCCATGGTACCTAGCCTGCCAGGATATATTTAAGGAAAATGGAATGCAGGCCTTTTGGTCTTAAAATCATATTACTTATATGCAGAATAGGCCGCTGGAGACAAGATAATGTAGAATAGGCCGCTGGAGACATGAATTTTTCATGTGCACAACAGTTTAATGAAGCAATAGAGTGACAACAAGGAATGAGCTAGTGAGGAAAGGCAGTAGTAGATTCAGCGCACATGTAAAATTAATGGTTCAAAAATGACAGCCACCAGTGAACATTTAGAAAAGACAGATTGGATGCAGTGGACTGCATGATATGAGTATGCAAGTCTGAGTTGCTCAGATAACAAGCAAATAAGAAGAGTTAACTTTATAGACAGACTCTGGTAGCAAGACTAGGCTTGTCAGACATCCAGTTTTGGACAGGAATGCCGGTCAAAAAGGGATCCTGGCAGCTCCGGTCAACACTGCTGACCGGGCCGTTAAAAGTCTGGTTGGTAACGCAGCAGGTCCCTGCTTGCCCTGGCTCTGCGCAGCTCCTGGAAGTGGCTGGCATGTCCCTGTGGCCCCTAGATGGAGGGGCAATCAGGGAAGCTCCGGGTGCTGCCCCCGCTCCCAGCACCTGCTCTGCAGCTCCCATTGGCTGGTGTCCCAGCTTTGGAGGTTGGATCCTGAGAAGTGGGGCTTCCTGCCCCTTCCTTTCCTTCCCTCTTTTTTATGAAATTGAGTGTTTATAGGAAATATATTTCTAATATAATTCACATATGATATTAGTCTTTCAGTAATACATTGGTGCACACAAGGTACAGGACCATGATCCAATTAATATCTTGTCTAGGGTGTGACCCTTAGTATGGAGCATCTCCTATTTAATACATATATATTGCCATGATTTGTACCTCAGTGACTAATAGGAATAATGAGATATAATGGTGAACTGATAGACTCTTTCATACAAAAGATACAACGTAGTGCCAAATATTACTAAATGAAAATGTGGGTTCATATTATTATTTATTATATTTGCACTGCTATAGCACCTAGGAGCCCTAGTCAAGGACGCCATTGTGCCAGGCACTGTACAAACACAGAACAAGCAAATAAAAAAAAGATGGTCTTTACCCCAAGAAGTTTACAATCTAACTGTAAGACAAGAGACAACAGGTGGATAAAGATAGATGGTTGAGGACAATGAGACAATATTGGCCAGCATGATAGGCAGTTGTCACAACATATGTATTTATATCTGTTTATGTCAGAGAGACAGATGTATAATTTTCTTGGTGTTAATAGAATTTATTATTTGAAATAGATGTAATTAAACTTACATTTTGCATGACAGCAATGCAAGTCTCCATTATGGTAACTGTTCAGAATGTGATATAGTAGCTGCACTGAACATGCTACATTGATCCAGTCATAAAGGAATCACAAAGTTTTTACACATTCAAAATTTTTACTTGATGTACATAATGGAAAAATAAGATTAAGTTGCTGTCTCCAGCATTCAGCAGGTTCCTTAATTACTTTAACTATCTGTATAACACTGAAAGTCCCAGATATGAAGGTCTCTCTGGAAAACTGCAGTTAATTAAATACATATTGGTGAGTCTTGCCTTCCTGAGGACACTCTGGTATCTCATTCCTTCTTTGTGTCTCACCATTTGTATTTATAGTGGAAGCAGCTAACAACCTTGTTTGTTGAATTGGGTACATGAAATATGGATAGTAGATTTGCCCAGTCCCTTACTCATCGCAACTCTGGCCAACCTTCCTAATATGGCCAGGGGGTCTGTCCTTCATTCTTAATAAAATCAGAGTTAAAATCAAAGTTAAACTAAGATGTAGGGTATTGTACTATTCTAAACTGGTGGCATTATTTATTTATTTCCCCCCATATGCCTTTCTTTATCTTTAGGTAAACAAGATATGTGGTCATCCTGTGAGAAAGACGACATTGTCCCCAGGTTATTCTGATCAGAACAAAGATAATCAAGGGATGAAGATGTCTGCAAGAGACAATGAAGAAACACTGGCCAACAGAAGAAAGTAAGACATTAGTTTTACAACCAGAAAGAAAGAAGAAAGTAAGCCATTAATTTTACAACAGAATAGATTGTATTCAATACAATGAAATGCATTAGTAGAGAATAAGAGATTGAAAAGAATGCAACTTTACATTTCAATGGTACTACATGTTCTACTACATTTTTAAAATATAGTCATTTTAGAAGACCTAGATTTTTGTTTACTGAAATAATGGATGAATAAGCAGGGACATTTACTGTGGTTTAAAGCATTTAGAAGAATTGACAGTGCTGCTAAAACAGCAGCGGTGTGTGTGTGTGTGTGAGAGAGAGAGAGACTGCATAATGTAGTTAATTGGCATAGCAATGTGGATTACCAAATGTGTCGAAAAAGTGATTGTCCCTTTTATCAGTAGTCTATTTGTATGATGAGGCTAGTGCTGAATTGATCAGAAATAGGAGGGTGAATGGGTTTGTTCTCATATACTCTCCTTTCTCGTGCGCTAAATGCAATTACTGAGCATCTAAGGCTAAATCCGGAAGTCCTTACTCAGGCTAAAGTCCTATTTATGAGTATGGGGCTTATGCCTATGTAACACTAAGTTAAAATAAAGTAGAGACTTCAGGATTTGACCCTTAATTATGACTGCTGCAGAATTATTACTCCTCTTCCTCCTGCAAAGAGTAGCAGTAGTATTGCAGTAGCACCTAGAGGCCACAGTCAGGATATCAGAGTATCATAGGAGGAGCCCCATTGTGCGTGGTTTTACACAAACACACACAAAAACCCACAGCTCCTGCCCTAAAGAGCTTACAGTCTGTAAATGTAGCAGTAGGTATATGGAAAACCCCTACTACTGGCTGTGTTGTCTTGTGGGCTCATAAGAAGGAGATAGTGTCTGGAGTCTAAGGAGTAAGGTTTTATTAGAACTAAACAGTTACATAAGACAAAGAGCCATATTTTCCTAGCTGCTTCCAACCAGTTCTCACAAGCATGTGCTCTGTTCTTAAATATTCTTAACGCTGGCATGCATACAGTGATGTTCCCCTCTGGTGTTATCTGGACCGGTGATATGTTAGGTCATCCCAATCCTAGACTCTGGGAGCCAGCCTTACTCTGCTCTGCTGTGAGAACCCCAACTCCCGGGCTGTTCACGCACTGCCTCTGGCACATAAACTGCTCCCAGCTACTTGCAACCAAATGACACTAGCCAATATCTCCAGTTCCAGACACAACCCTAGGAACCTCCATCTTGCAGTGTCCAGTAATGCCCACTGGATGCTGCAAGCTTATATGAGTTTGTCAATTTAACAAAGAAATTGATATGTATCAGGCTTGTTATCCCAAGGAGAGCCTCTGACATGCTTCAACCAAACACACTGCTTCAGGTAGAATAAACAAACAGATTTATTAACTATAAAGATAGATTTTAAGTGATTATAAGTCAAAGAATAACAAGTCAGATTTGGTCAAATGAAATAAAAGCAAAACACATTCTAAGCTGATCTTAACACTTTCAATGCCCATACAAACGTAGGTGCTTCTCACCACAGGCTGGCTGGGTGCTCTTCAGCCAGGCTCTCCCCTTTGATCAGTGCTTCAGTCGCTTAGTGTGGTGTCTGAAGATGTAGGTGGAAGAGAGAGAGAGAGCATGGCAAATGTCTCTCCCTTTTATCATGTCCTTTCTTCCCTCTTGGCTTTGCCACCCCACCTGCAGAATCAAGTGAGCATTACCTCATCGCAGTTCCAAACTGACCAAAGGAAGGGCGGGGTGACTCCCTCGAGAGTCTAAGGGTATGTCTACACTGGCAAGTTTCTGCACACAAGTTATACCACTTTTATTAAAGCAATGGAATTAAACCACTGTTGCGTGTCCACACTGTGCTCCTTGTGACGGTGGAGCGCATCTACATTAGCAGCTCTTGCAACGGCAAAGAGAGCAGTGCATTGTGGTAGCTATCCCACTGTGCAACTGGCCGCAGGGTGCTTTGGGAAGGGTTTGCAATGCCTCATGAGGAAGGCACAGCGTCACATGATACAGGTTTCCCAATCCCATTGTTCCATTGCCAGCTGCTTTTCAACTGAAGTGTGGGGGGTGGGGTGGGGCAGAGTGTATGACAGGGAGTGTGTCTGTGTATGGGGAGAGACAGTGTGTTTTGGGGGACAGAGTGTGTGTCAGCATGCTGTCTTGTAAGTTCAGGCAGCGGCAGAAAGCAACCAGTCCTGAGGCAGGGTGAGGGGGAAACCCTGATATCAGCCTGTCTCCCTCCCCAGCTCTCTGCACAGCAATCTGTCTCTCTCTCTCTACACACACACACACACACACACACACACACACACACACCTTCCTCTGTGTTCAACAGCACGAGCATTCCACATTAATGGTTTGCTTTGTGTCCCGGAGCAGATCAGCACAGCATACAAGGACTGTCAGAAACAGAGCTTTGAAAGGAGAGGGGAGCCTATCTCCAGGGCAGCCGAGTTCAAAACAATGAGCATAGCTACCAGCGCTGGTGCACAGTCTACACTGGCACTTTACAGCACTGAAACTTCCTGTGCTCAGGGGGGTATTTTTCTGTTCTTGAGTCTCCAGGGAGATTTAAGTGTTCTCCGACTGGTTTTTTAAAGTTACAATTCTTGATGTCTGATTTGTGTCCATTTATTCTTTTGCGTAGAGACTGTCTGGTTTGGCCAATGTACACGGCAGAGGGGCATTGCTGGCTGGTGTGGTTAGGTCCTATGATGGTGTCCCTTGAATAGATATGTGGACAGAGTTGGCAACGGGGTTTGTTGCAGGGATTGGTTCCTGGGTTAGTGTTTTTGTTGTGTGGTATGTAGTTGCTGGTGAGTATTTGCTTCAGGTTGGGGGGCCCTGGACACTCAATAGCAGACTTAAAAGTGGCAATTCTTCAACAAAAAAACTTCAAAAACAGACTCCAATGAGAAACAGCAGAACTGGAATTAATTTGCAAACGGGACACCATCAAATTAGGCTTGAATAAAGACTGGGAGTGAACAGGTCACTACAAAAAGTAATTTTCCCTCTGCTGATACTTATACCTTCTTGTCAACTGTTGGAAATGGGCCACCTTGACTCCATTGGCCTCATTAGCACTACAAAAGTAATTTTCTCTCCCTTGGTATTCACCCCTTCTTGTCAACTGTTGAGAATAGGCCACTCCCACCTTAATTGAATTGGCCTCGTTAGCACTGACACCCCCTCCCCCCTTGGTAAGGCAACTCCCATCTTTTCATGTGCTATATAATATATATTCTGCTCACTGTATTTTTCACTTCATGCATCCGATGAAGTGGGTTTTAGCCCACGAAAGTTTATGCCCAAATAAATTTGTTAGTGTCTAAGGTGCCACAAGGACTCTTTGTTGTTTTTGCTATTGGGCTTGTTACCCCAAGAACAGATCTGGCGTCCCAGAGTAGCCCTTCTGTTGCTTACTTCTGGATTCCCCAAATGTTAACCTATATTATCTCTTTCTGCAAGGTGAAAGGAGGGGGCCCACCCTAGTGAAATTGCCAGGGTTTACCAGAGATTTCTCTATGCCTTTCAGGAAATCTTTCAGAACAGACTAGATCTGTTCTCCCTTGGGAGAAAATGGATACAGCCCTCCACTCAAAAGATTGACACCCAGGAAGTTATTTTCCAAAACAAAGTTTTTTCTTTCTTTAGTGTAACTAATCTTCCCTAGTACAGTTAATCTAAACATGAATTAAAACATAATCATAAATCCCTTAGCTCAGGTATACAAGTTAAGTACCCAAGACTGTAATGTCATACAGTTGGAAAGTTGATTATGTTCTGCACATGTTGATCAGTCATATGTATGACACGGACAGCAATCTTAATAAACTCTAAGCTTTATACATAGTAAGTAACATGAACATACCCACCACAGACACTCATCTTTATTATCCGAAGCATACACATTCGTTAACCATATTTCTGTTCTATATACTATACTATGACAGGCAAGCTTACTCTCCAAAGTCGTCTTCCATCTGCTATGTCTTAAGGATCCTTTTCTGTTCTGTCCCAGCATCCCATGGCTACTGCTGTCACTCTTTGGTTGCCTCTGCTGCTGTTTCTGACTTCTTTGCTCTTCTAGGTTTTTTCTGATCTCTTCTGTGTCGTCTTCTTCTCCTGCTCCTATCTTGACTAACTTTTGCCTGCCTGCTCTCTGCCTTATATACAGTTTTTGGCCTGTTCTGATTGGCTTATTTTTCAATCCTATCATTAGCATATCTATCCTCCAATCACCTTCAGACCACCTCTGATTGGTCCATAATTATAGACCAATCATATCTGCTAAATCTATGGTGACCCTCACATGTTTTTGGACTGAGTATGCCTGACTGATCCTTCCCTAGTTTTCCCTACCTTTACCTAACCTCAGCCCATATTTGCCCAGCAACACATCAGTCATAAGCTGAACTGCTTGGAATACTGACTGTCCTTGGCTGTGCCCCAACATTGATCGCACACTTAAAATTACCAGACTTTTAATAAAGATACTGGATTTATGGCTTACTACAACCAATCTGAACCCACTAACCCCCTTTTTTGTCCTATGACTGCAGAGGTGTTAGCAGGCCACTTCACCTTGAATGGTCTCTTAGAATATGTGTTAACTACTTATGCTAAACAATCTGTTCCACTTTGTGACACTCTGAGTACCTTTCCCAGACCTGAAGAAGAGCTCTGTGTAGCTTGAAAGTTTGTCTCTTTCACCAGCAGAAGTTGGTTCAATAAAAGATATTACCTCATCCACCTTGTGTCTCTAGATAAAAATATTGATTTTTAAATGACTGACTATATATAAACTTTCATTTGTTTTAATTTCAAATGGATAGCACTTAATAGAACTTATTCTTCATACTCTTTTTAAGCATCATCTTGTTCAAACATACATTTGTAGCATAATTTTGTCTGTCTCCAACCTCTGTGTAGAAGTTAACAGAGTGTTGCTTGTTGGTTTGCAGGGCAGTGAGTATTGCATTGATGACTTTCTACATATCTGTAGGTCATAGATAATCCTACATATTGTGAAATGTTGAATCATAATAAATACATATTTATATTTTCACAGCAGGTATGGGTCTTCCATTGAGAGATTTTCATTACACTAGCAAATAGTTTATAAAAATGAATATCATAGCCCAGTTACCAATTACGTCCAGTAACTTAATAGGTATTTATTTATTTTTTATTTCAGTGTCCCCAGTTTTAGGCATCTTGACAATTATTTAAAATAAATACATAAAATAATATTCCAACAGCAGAACATGCCACAAAAATTGAAATAAATGATCCAAACAGTAATTTAAACAGCCAAAAAAATACCATCTCCACCCTAAACCTGGCTTTCCCAAAACTTCATCTGTCCCATAAACCATAACCAATAGATAGTCTTTGTATAATAGTTTAAAGTCAGTAAAGAGCTACTGGATATTCAGCACTTCTGAAAATCGGGCCACTTGTGTAGGTGGCTAAGTATTGGAGTTAGGAGCCTACCTTTAGACATGCATTTTTGGAAATATTAGCTTATTGCTACACATGTAGAGTTGCCTCCCAGAGCAGCAGTCTGTGATTTGGTTTGACTTTCACTGACTGAGTAGTCTTTCTTTTAAGGCATCTAATATATCTAGAAAGTATATTGACGAATAGATTAATAAATGAGAGCCAATAGACGGGGTGACAAAAAATGATACATTCTTTTATTTCTTGTTACAATGTGTAGCAGTTTGATTGCTCATTATTATTAATTGATTGCTAATTATTTTACCTGTGTTTGTTTGTTTTGGTAGAGAATTTATGAAAAGTCTACGGCTGTACAAGACATTCTATGGAGGCCTGGCTGATCAGCTGTGTATCAATGAGTTAGCAGCTGCTGATGGGCTAGCATGTTGGAATGGTGAAGATGTTGTAAGAAGGTACTTTTTCACTCTGTGATCTATAAGAACACTTTTTTATATTTTTCCATATTTATTTTTTCTCCAAATTTATTTCCTGATGGAGTAACATTAAATATTTGTATTTTGGTTAAGAACCATTGCTTTAGGAAAATCTTCCCCTCTATCAAGCTTAAAATACTAAAATCTGTCCACATCTTTGTTTTGAGAAAATATGACGCTTAGTGGTCCTCCAACGTTTTGAGCTACCCATTTCTAAAGCTCACCTGGCTGGCATTTGTGTTGGCTATTGAGAAAAGGTAGGTTTAACATTTGCAAAATTAAGTCAGAAGCAGGGGAACAGGATTTTTGTTTGAGATTGTGAAAGTTCAAAGCTGGTATGTTTAAATGCTCCCTCTAGTATTTACAGCATGGTAACAAACTTCAACCATTTATTTAAAACTTTATCTGACTGTAAGGAATAAAATAATCCTTAATGAATGTGGTTTCTCATGAGAGTGCTAAAAGTTAAGATACTAAGATAAACTGTTTTAAAGGTGAAACAAATAAATTATTGAACAGTGGCTTGGGAGCAGTCATTCACTAGCAATGTTACAGAACTGATCTTAGCAAACTACCAAGCTCCTGGAAGTAAATGTTCGGAACCAATATATTTTACAGTTCACAAAACAAAAGCATTTTGGATGACAAGAAGGTTTTCAGAAAGCTGTAGTTAATTCCTTGTGCTCTATTCTTTCAGTTCCCAAAACAGGCATACTTTTGAAAAGGAATACTTGAGGGAGATTGGGACTGCAGCACTAGCTAATTCATTATAACTAATGTTTGTCAGTATCTTCTGTTTTTAATACCAAACTGAGCTCGTACAAAATAGAGTGACATTAGCTTTTTATCTATATATCCAAAGTCCATATGTGATGTCTTGTTCAGGTCACCCAGAACGGTGTTACCGCTCTTCTTCAGCAAGAGTGAGCTTTGCTGCTGCTAAGCTGTGTGTCAGCATCCTAACACATGAGCATGTCTGTCTTGCCAGCAAACTCCTCAGGCCTCTGCCAGTCCCAACCTGGCCTTGCAGGTAACAGTCAGTGAGCCCCAATTCCCGCGTTCCCCAGATACGTCTTTCTACAGTGCCCATGCCTCTCACTGGATGCTCACAGACATTACGTTCTCTGTCTCCAAAGAGATGAAGCACTCACCAGTCTGTTAGCTCAGCTGGGGAATTCACCCTTCAGTTTAATACCAGAGCACTGAAAAGATTTTGTAATAAAATAAGCATAAGTTTATTACCAAAGAACAAATATTTAAGTAATAATAAGTAAGAACAGAAGACACATATGTTTATCAGTAAAACCACACAAAACACACTTTCTAGTGACTAAAACAACTTCAGCAAGTTACAGACCTTGTCTAAGCAGGTTTCTCATCTATAATCAGTTCCAGCTACTCTTCATTTTCGGGGCAAAAGGGTCCACTTTTTATGAGCTCAAAGGGTGCTCCCCACCTTTGTCCCCTAGGTGAAGGATGCCAAAATGGCTTTCTTTTTCTGCGTATATTTCCCAGTCTATTGTCTCTGTTTCAAGAGCCAGGAAGGCTTCTTGGTGGTGTGCAGGCCCCATCCCCTGCTGTGAGTGTTAAGTGGTCTTCCTCCCTCAATGTTTGTTTATCTTGGTGGCTTCATTTGCCTTACATTTAGATGTACTTTTCATTGTCCTCTGAGGTATTACCTGGTTCGTTTACATTGGAGACACAGGAAAACAGGTGAAACAACATTCCTTTGTCTAGAACAGGCTGGGCTGACTGCTTGCAAAATACCTTTTAATTTCCAGCACACAACTATAATCTTTTGTAGAGCACCTGTATGTACATCATGCAATAGTATTAATGACAAGTGTGTTATCAGTTTCATATTATAATGGACTTGACACCTTTTAGATATAGATTACGACAACGTGTGTTGGTGCAATGTGTGTGTCAGGCCTGATGTGAGTTATGGTATGCCCTCTGCCACTTGTCATTGAGGGGACCCCCCTCTCCCTCCCGGGTCACATTATAAGACAGTAGGAAGTCAGAGAGATAATTGATAATGTGTGGTGTACTCTAAAGTACTTGTATCTTTAAATATGTTGCAGAGGAGCATTAGGTTTAGCAGGGGGAAGTCTAGAAAGTGAGGGTTGTCAACCCTTCTTAATGGACAAAGAGGGTTAGTAGTGGATCCCAGGCCTTCCCATTCCACTAGGCTCTGGTGCAGGGCCTTGTAAGGGTTACCAAATATCCTGTACCCAGGGGTGCCTTAAGGCTGCCTGCCTGGGCCACTTCCTACCACCCACTCTATTGTCAAAATCTTGCAGTCTGTTGCAAAGTAGTGAGAGAAAAGGTACCAACTGAACCTTCGCCCCCCCTGGGCTTGGCAGGCTTGTCCTCTCCAGGAGAAGGTTTCTGCATTGCCCTTCCTCAGGAGTGAACAGGGTCAATCTCTTTCTCTGCCTTGTCTGGTTCCCTCTTAAGCACCGCCTGCAGCTAGAGCATGGTCTGCAGGTGCAGCTGGAGGGTGTAATTTGGGCCCAGAGTTGCTCCTTAACCCCTTCAGTTCTAGTGCTGGGTTTATACATCCTGTCACACACCACTTTCTAGAAAACACTTACACACATGCTTAAGTTTACTTGCACGACTAGTCTCACTGCTTGCAGTGGGACTACTGTGTTTGCAGGATTGAAGCGTAAGAGCTCATTGAAGTCAATTGGAGTCTTTCTCTCAAATCTTCACAAAAATCATCTTTGCTAAATTATTAATATTTGCCTTCTCTGTCTCAGATTCCATCCCAACTCTGCTTCCTGTGTCTTTTGTCCTCCACTTGCTCTTCAAATGAAGTATAAGCAATTCAATCAAATTTATGAATGTGGATGAAAAATGTTACACTACTTAAAGATTTACCAGTGGCTGAATGTATTATGTCATTACTTTATACTGCTTATTGTTTTACCCTTAGTATTACTTACACATCCCCCCCCAAATGTAATCAAGTATTATAATACACATTTACTATTACATTTTAAAATAGATCCTTTAGTTTTTACACAGGATAAAACTCCTAATTAACTCCATGTTCCTGTATTGTTTTAAACTAATGCTACTTGGCCAAAAATATTTATAACATTGATGCAGTGATGACCAAGATAGCATTCCATTGAAATTTCAAATAAATATTGGTAAAGAACAGCTATAGATGTGGTTTTAATTATGCTTTAGCTTCCTTGTTGTTCTTAACATCCACATGTCTATCTGATCTTATACTCTGCTACTTTGGCAATTTTATGCTGTAAATTTCTGGGTTTTCTTAGTAATTATTTTTGGAAAACAGAAAAATCTTTTTAGATTCCATGGTTCAAACCTAAAGTTATAGGTTTCACCAGGACTTTGAAACTCCACCTCTCACACTATTTGATTAGTTTAAAAGTGGGTGCTGTTTGATCCTGATTTAGCTTTTTCACTACAGCTTGGTTTATTTTTTGTTTTGTTTTTTTGTTAAGCTTGGTTGTAAGTTTTAGAGTCAAATTTCTGAAAAAACTGACAGTACTACATACACAATATTGAAAGGACAAAAGAATGCTGACTATAATTGTGGGGAGCAGGTTCGTTCACCATGTCAGCAAATGTTGACGGTCTGTCCTGCCAACTCACTGAAGCATGAAGCCTCACCTTGTTATAGGCCCTGATTAAGGAGTCTGTCACTATTCAGCAAAGCATTTAAGCACATGCTTAACTGTAAGTACATGCTTAATTTTCACTGAAGTAAATGGTAGTTAAGTACATGCAATTTAAGCACACGCCTAAAATTAAGCATGTGCTTAATTGCTTCCCTGAACTGGGGCTGTAGAGCAGAAGGTAGGGTCTGTGACAGAGGAATCCTAATGTAGGAACCCTCAGGCAGCCAAGTATAGAGAGAAGGGTAGGGTTGGAGTTTGTAATAGTTTGTTACTTTTAGTAATAAAGTCAAACTCTAAGAAGGGGATAATTTTTAACATTATGTAAAGTGTGTGTGTGTCGCATTCTGATGGAGCACTGTATGATGAGATCCCTGATGGACTTCCTGAGTCTACTCTTTTCCCTCTGATGGACTTTGTTTGAGACCAGGACCGGCTCTACCATTTTTGCCGCTCCAAGCAAGAAAAAAAAAAAAAAACCCCCTTGAACGCCCCCCGCACCGCCACAAAAAAAAAAAAAAAAAAAAAACAGCCTCAAAAATTTCCCCAAAAAAAAAAAAAAAAAAAAAAAAAAAAAATACGCCCGGACTGTGCTGCCCCAAGAATGGACGGAATGCCGCCCCTTAGCATGTGCCGCCCCAGGCACGTGCTTCCTCCGCTGGTGCCTGGAGCCGGTCCTGCTTGAGACATACGGGTGTGTGGTTTTGTCCCCCTTCTCCAACTCCCTATCCCCTATATTTCCTTTTCTCCCTCTTATCCCTTGATCCCTCTCATATGCTGCATGTCTAGAGGATATAGTTAAAACTGAGTTCTTTTATGATTTTATTGCAAATGCCACTTGTTTTAGGGCAACGACTTGAACAAGGGATGCAAATTCCAAGGGTCTATTCACATTAAATGTTATGCCCCTCTTTTGTTTGTAGAACAAGTTTCCAAGTATGCTGACTTGTTCACACAAAAAAGTAACTAGGTTGAAGAAACGTGGCATGGAGAAGCAGAGGGAGTAGATTCCCAGCAGAGAGACAAAAGAGAAACAAAAGTTTTTATTGCCACTATAATCGCATCCTTCTCCCCACTTCATCCCCAGCTCAGGCTACTTATTAACTTGTATTAAAAATTCTGGTAGGCATTGTATTTTATTTCACAAAGTTAGTTACATTGAAGTGAAAATGCATCTACACTGCATAATAGAGGTGTGTATTTGTATAATGTAGAAACTGGAGAAAGACTAGATGATTTTCCTGTCTATGGTGAATATGAGCCCTGCTTTGAGTACTGCTGAACTATCCCTGCTTCATACAACTTACACTTGGCTCAGAACGT